CCTTGATTAGAAAAATATAAGCATTTTTGTTCAGTTTCAGAAAAAATCCAAGAAAAAGGAGATCATCTAAAAACTAGACAAATTAATCCAATTGTTAAAAGAATAAGGAATAATTCAAGAACAAATTAATCCAATTGTTAAAAGAATAAGGAATAATTCAAGAACATTATAAGAGTCATTAACTTTATCATTAGAAGAAATAAATAAATGGTCAACACCAAAAGAGTCTTTTTAAAGAACAATCATGATAAATGAGTGAACATCTAAAGAGTTATCATCCGATAGGATTGATAATGGAGCTTCATCCAATAGAATATATGAAGAAGCTTCATTCAATTGATTATTTGAAGAAGCTTCATCTAGTTGAACCTTGAGAAAAGATGATGAAGAAGCTTCAACAAGAAGAATATTTGAAAGGTCAACATTAGAAAGATTATTTGGAGAGTCATCGTCACATGAAGAAGATATAATCTCAAGAGGCTCATGAGAAGATGTTTTCAATGACATACCCGATAACATATTCGAAGATTCTCATGAAGTATCTTCTAAAAGAAAGGAATCTGACGAAGACAACATGTTTGCTTCAAAACCACGGGAGAAGACGGCAAAATTGAGCGTGCACATGCAATTGATAAGTGCCAAAATTACATAAACTACATACTTATTGACTTATTTTACAAGCAATCAATACAATTATCAATGAAAAATGTTAAAAAAACCTTTTCGGATTTTCTACTTTCATATTTATCAAAATCATGGGAAAAGGGTTGAAAAACCACCAAGCAACACGCAAAGACCTTGCCAAGACCAACTTTCTATAAGCAAGACTCGCTAGGCCACTTTCATGGGTGTGCTAGGCGAGCACATGCGAGATAAGAATTCTTGGGTAAGTAACTTCATGGTGAAGGAAAGGTTTGTGTGCTAAGCGAAGATGGGTGGTGCACCTAGCGAACTAGGACGATTAGGGTTAGTTGCAAGGTGGGTTGGCATTTCTTAACCTAGAATAAAATAGGTGTGTTAGGCGAGAATAGAAGGTGTGTCTAGCGAGCCTAACTTTCTATAGCTTATAAATAGGATGTTCAACTTTAGATCTATGTAAGTTTTGGTGGATTCGAGGGGAGTACAGACAGATAGTAGGTCCATCTTGGTCTCAACAAGAGAATATGATAAGGAAATTAAAGACGGGAATACTGCTTACGTGACACTTGTAGATAACCTTCCAAATTTGTCTTCTCGAGATTACCTATGTAACTACGATGAGTAAGTGTTGTTAGAAATCTCTTTTTCGGGGGTAGATGTAGTCATTATATGTTCACGTTTCATTTGGTCACGATGTTTTATGTAATTCTACTTAACCTTTAATATTGATGATTCTTTGTTCTTAATGATAATATTATACTTGCTATCTAAAAAATATTTTTATGGTATGTCTTAACAATGGGGGAACAATGTGATAGACTAAAATGTTCGATGTTCAAGAAGGGGTTAAGGCCAGACAGTATGTTCCAGGAGAAGCTGAGGCTCGAGGGAGCTTGTAACCTAATTGACTTACTAAATATGGCACATCCATATATCAATTGTGAAAAAAAAGTTCCTATATGAAGATGGAGAGAGAGGTCGGGGAGTAGAGGACTTTGGGTACAGTCGAATATTAGAAAGAGATAATGGTCTTTGCTGAGGAGACGTGGAATGTAGGCTTTGATCCAGGTTCACTGCATACACCCCCTTGAACACTTCATGGGAGAAAATATGGAAAGAGTGTGCGAACACCAAATTTAAGGAAGTTGAAATTATAAATTCCTATATGGTAAGAGCATTATCCTGGACGGACAAGTACAAATATTATTGTTTCCATAAATCATAACTACAACACCAATGAATATATTCATCTAAAGGATTCAATAGAAAAGCTTATTAAAAATGGGAAACTTTATGAGTACAATAGGGGTGGTGAACACAAAGTTGGCTGGGACAATAAGAGGGGGCTTAAGGGATGAGAAGACTCTCCAATCAACAACAATTTCCTTCGTTAAGCCCCATGAAACTCTTTTCCATAAATCCTAATAAATAAAGCAAGATTTACAGAAATGGATATTTGGATGTTACCTTAGCGTAGACAAATTCGAATACCCGTGCACTCAAAAGAAGGGGCACAAACGAGTCAAAGATGATGACCTGTGCAAAAAAGCTGGTAGCAATAGAGGAAATTGCTGACGGAGAGAAAGAAGGATTTCTCAATTCAAAAAGTGACAAAAAAAGAGAAGTCTAATAATTCAGGAACTTCTTATATGAACTTCAACAACAACAACAAATTGTGCCATCTACCATATTGAGAAGCGTGAACCAAACCACTAATGACTGAGATTACCTCTTGAACTGTTCAGAGTACTTGAGTATCTTAAGTCAGAATATATCATTACCATTCAATAGAGGGACACATGTCAAGACTTTCCTATAAAACATCTTTTATCAAGAGAAAATAATTAACAATTATGAAGTCATATACTAATGATATTTCATCAAGTCTCTTTACATACTTTAGTCAATCTAAAAATACATATGACAAAGCCCTCGTTCTAATGGATAGAAATAAGGGCTTAGGCGGAGTCAGAGCTATTGTATGAAAGGGCGGGCCCATGCCCTCACCATCGTTTTCACTAATTCAAAATTTAATATTACATATAATATATCAATATATTAAATGCATTAAAAATTAGCGGGGAAAATTGAATAATAGCCCCCACTTAATAATAAAATTATAAGAAGTATTAGTTTTTCACATACTCATCATTATTTAAAATATTCAATAGTTTGCTTGATTTAAAAAAAACCAACATGATTAGTTCTATATATAATGAATAAATTAAATGCTTTAAATAAAATAAAAGAAAAAAACAATTTTTCTTTTTCTATTCCTATTCATTCTCTTTAACTCTTTTAAATGCAAATAAATCATTTTTCGAATTCTTCTTTTTCTTATTCCTCTTTCTCTCATTCTAAAGTAACTATATGTTAATAGTTCTTTTAAAAAGTAAATTTTTAATTTTAATCTTTATAAATTTATAATTTCTTCTTATTATAATTAGAGTAAAAAATACACTATTACCTTATTGAGTTTGAGATTGTGTTAATGGTAGGGTTTTTTAAAGAATTTTGCAGTGTTTATTTGAAAAGCGTTTTGTTGGATTTAGGGTTTTGTATTGAATTGCTCCTTTGTGTAACTTGTTTAAGTCCAAGACATTCATTTTTTGTGTTTGATAAGGAGAGGTTAATTTGTTTAGCTCAATTTCATCCTTCAGAGTTTTCTCAAGTTGAATTATTGGCACTAGATTGTCAGTTTGAAAACTATTTCTTAGATATATGCTCTGACAGTATATTTTCAGAATTAGAGTGGATCGGTGATCTTTCTATCAAACTTGTAGAGGCCAAAAAAATATGTTGTGCATCCCAGTATATTTGCTTTTAAAGTTATCTCTGATATTACTAGTGACAACTGAAACAACTAAAAGAACTTTCTCTGCTATGAATTTTATCAAGAATCAAATGCGAAATTACATGGGTGATAAATGGTTAAATGATTGCTTAATTATTTACATTGAGAAAGATATTTTAATTGATATTGAAAATGAGAAAATGATTCAACATTTTCAGAACATGAAAAATCGTAGAGAACAGTTATAATGTATATTTTTATTTTTGAAAATGAAATGTTATATTGATATTGACCCCACAACTCAAAATTTCTGACTACGTCCCTGAGCTTGAGGGCAACTATTTTAGGTCGCTTGCAATGCCCATAGCAAAAGTACAAGAGCGAACCTCGAGTAAAAAGGCATACAAAACAAGCAGACCTTCGTTAGACCAGAAGTAGATAATTTCACCCCCTCAACGCATCAATCATTGCCTGATTCAGTCATACAATTATCCGCATGATACGTCGCATCACACGTGAAAGGTTTCAACCGCTCTTAGTATATAAAAGTAAAACGCATCATTTCAAGTATTCAAGATCATTCTCACTCACAATACTTTTGATTTCTCTCACTAACTTGGACATTGGAATGCTAACATTGCAGGTCCGCACCGCTCTAGCGGATCGAAAGTACTGATCCACCACCACGAGACACAACTTCACCATCTCATCTTTCATTTTTAGTTTCTAACATAACAGTTTCGCTAAGGAACTAGAAATGTTTTGTGAAATTATGGAGTAGATTCTTGATGCAATGGAGTGGATCTCTAATACAGTGGTGTGGGATGGACATGTAAAATTAACACTTCAATGTTCGAGTTATTAAGAAAATGAGGAATAAAGTGAATTATGAATTAGAGAGGAAATACCTCGAGTGTTGTGTGGGATGCCTTATATATGAAGACATATCAGATGACATCTAATGTTAGACAGCAACCTCTGGCGTGAATCTAATGTGAAACTCCAAAGTAAAATTACATTATAAGTTCAATGTTATGACAAAATGACTTGAACGGATGATTGAGTCTCCTCCTTTTGAGCCAGTTGTCGGCCCATGACTTTTTTTTTATGACCAAACATGGTATGATTTGAATATTTGAACTTCTTTATTAAATAAAACAGCATGGTTGAGAGGGATATAATGTATAGAGGTCAACCGAATTAAATAACAAGACTATCATTCAAATGAATAAATAAATAAATAACCAGCATAATCAAGCCATGTTGATTTTCTTTGACCAATAGATCTCTTCATATAATACAATTCAAAGGCTATTAATATTATAATTACATGATAAAAAAATAATCATAACCTTTAGCTCTTCATTTTGTACCATGATGACTAAATTTATGCTTTCTTATAAGAAAAAAAAGTGTACTATTATATCCTAAGTTTTCATAATCAATCATATGTGTGACTTCAGAAATAATTACACTAACAACATATCATATCAGTGTATGAACTAACTCAGTCAAACTATACCTCCTCCAATTCCTTTTTGCATCTACCAATTCCATGTAATTTGTACTAATATTCTCTTGAAAATGAATCCTGACGAGCTAGTTCATAGCTTTCACTTCTAGGTGGCTGATTCTCAGCATCACCAATATCTGCTTTTGAACAAAGGAAGAAGAAAGAAGATGTGTATATTGCAGCATGCCAAAAGCTGTAACAATTTTAGAAAAAGAGTCATAAAAAGGAAGAGAAACAAAAGAGATAGAAGAGAAAGTTGAGTATTATTATAATACCTATGCCAGATCCAATAGGTCTCACTTGTTTCAAGTATCCAGCCTATTCCTGCCATGATTAATGCGGCGAATCCGGCCAATATAAAACCCCAACGGAACCGTCTAATAAGTGCCTTCACAAGGTTATAGAACCATAGCTTTATAGTTAACAAACTGCAAGAAAACTCACCATTATTACTAATTTTCGAATATAGTTAAGCGCGCTATTAAACTTGAAACCTTGCTTAAGGAATTTACAAGATGCTAGAATTTACCTTTGATGGAAATTTGGAGAGACTTCAAATGAAAAGGAAGAAGACCTATATTTTGATGACATTTCTATCAACCATCCAATAAGAAGACCAAGAACCCCGATAACAATCACATAAACAACATTAGAAGACCTGCGCGTGAACAAAACTTAAAGATCTTTAGACTGATATACAAATATCATAGACATGTCATAAGTTGCTTCCATAAACTCTCAATCCATCTCACAAGTGCTTATACCAGTAAATAACATCAAATAAGCAATCCAAACGGACCGTAGTTCAATTCACCTGGTTGCGTTAGTTACTGCTATGAGAGCAGTAAAGATAGAAACTGCTGTGTGGATCGCCCGCTTATGTACTTCGTCGATGGTGGCTAGGTATACAAAAGTGCTGATCACCGCCATGAAAGAGAGCCAGAAGTCCATAAACTGAAATGCCGATAATGTAAAGTAAATGTAAATACGATAGAGTAAGAAAGAAAGACAGAGCTGTGAAGATGTGTAACCTGTAGAACACTGAAGTTCAATGCACACCAGGTGCCTACGTCGCATGCATGATATATTCCACTCGCAATTCCGCTGGCTGAAAATAAAATCCATTCTGCAAATGCCTGCATATCGGTTCCATTGCAAATTCAGATACAATGCTTTTTAAGTGGCCATAGAAGCACTTCTTGGGAATCCGAGACATTATTCCAGAGGAAAAATACATAACTAAAGGAAAAGAGTTACCTTCTGTCGAAGCGACCAATACGCAGGAAGTAGAGCCGCGGCATTTGATCCAATCAGAAAAATTGATTGAAGTATGTGGCCTACAAAAAATTTCAATAACTAGATTAAACAATAACAAAACACTGATCTAAATAAAGCTCATCAAATTCTAAAAATCAGTAACTACCTTTATGTGATACAATTTCGATGCTACAGTCAAAGCCACCATGGTTTCGATCACATTCACAGAAGCTGAGTCCAAAAAGTAAATATTAAAAATGGTAAATATCCCGAGGATGTTGCAAAACAATCAGAAACCGTGCAATTGGAAACAAAATTTGAAACATACTATGTGATTATTTTACGCAATTCTCTTAATTTGAAGAAAACAAAAGAAATGTAAACAGAACCAAATGGACTTAACATAAACCTGTATGACGTCAATCCGGTAGCATCGAAAAAATATTTACAGTTGCCATGAGAGGAGCATTGGTTCGGACATCCTTCAAGTGAAATAGACAAGATAGTTTTCTGCTTCAAAGAATCACTGCTAGTATTAACATGTCTTACACCAAAACTCCAAGTTCCTTCTCTAGCATAAATTAAGTAAAAATCAATATTTTTGTCGCTTGAATCATTTAGCATGAAAAACACGGATTGATCGCTTTTTGATGTCTTGTTAGCATAATAATAGTCCCGGATATCAACAGAAGGCAATCCACCAAATCTTGCATAAACTTCGTAACTGATCTTTGTATCTGAGGATAGTTGTATGTGAATATTTCGGCCAGCTGCACCGTGAGGAATGTCGAGAGTAAAGTACGTCCATGTTTCGTTAGTTTCTCCGAATTTTGATGAGTTGTTTAAAAGTGGCTCAAGAGGAAATTTTGCAGAAGATGCTCCTTCACCAATAGGCAAATAATATGATTCAAACGGGATTGTACTTCTCTTTAGAACTGTCTGCAGAAAAACATTCTCGTCAATAAACTATTCCTACAAATACCGTGACATGTCCAACAATCAATACTACCTGAAGTATGTAGCTACTTATTGTACAATTCGGTCCAGCTTTTCCAAATGGGCACTGTAGCATTTGTGATTCAAGCGAATAACAAGCTTTTGCATCACTGTCATGAGTATCTCCAATTGTTTTTGTAAGATTTACCGGTAATACTCTAATGTACCAACGACCGATCAGTGGAGAATGAATAACCAGAGCGGATTTATTTAAATCACTGGAATAATCGTACAAACTATTTGTAGGCATCGCGCCATGGCGAGCAAAACACAATAATTTAACATCGCTTGCACCAGAAGCATTACTTGAAGATGTAATATTGAGTTTGATATTTCCTGCCATAATGGTAAACTCTTCTACCGCGTTCGTTATATCCAAGGAGTATAAGTTTGGTACACCTTCCTCAACACACAAAGTTTCAAAGTTACTTTTGCAGGTCATCGCATTTTCAATCCTTGGTTTCTTCATTGTAGATTTCAAAGAGGATGCTGTGCATGAAAGTGAATTGACGGTAGTGTTACAGAACTGCCCACTCATCATCGAATTTGTGCAAGCTTCCACACTTATATTGGCGCTAAAGGAGTACGACGGACCTCGAATGATCTGCATAAGTAGAGAAGTTTGCTAAGAGATTGAATAAGCAAAATCGAAATAAGTGATACTTAGATAATTAACCATACCATCCTGGATTGTGTTCTTGCAGCTCCAAAGCCGTTAAAAACACCAATGTACCAAGCACCTGGAGATATCTGAACAGCAATTCTTATGTTTATTGGTTACAATATTGTGAAAGGACACTAGTTTTGATACAATGTCAGGTATAACTATTTCATTATGATCATCAAACGAAAGAAGACGCTAAAGTTAAGATACAATAACATCGCAAACAAATAAAGATACTAGAAAAGTAATAAGGACTTATCAGTTAAAACATTACCAGCTCATTAGTTAACTTCATAGTGATGTTTTTCTCCATAGGAAAACATTGCTCAATATCAAGACCATTTATTCCTAAAGCAAAACAGGAACAAAAGAGTAGTTATAAATTGGCATTACATAAAGCACTTAAAAAATAAGTCATTTTTCTGAAATCGCGACAGAAATTAATTTAGGTGTGGCTTCTACCTAAGACAGTTGATAATTTCAGAGATGTGTTTAAAGCATCAGGTAGAGGAGGACTTCCATCTCTAAAGCATATTATCGGCAGCGAACTTTTTGGAACCCTTTCGATTCTTGCAACATCCTGAAAACAATACTTAACTGCTCAACGAGAGAGGCAAACATGTCAATTCATAAAAGCCGATTAACCAGAAGAATTATGGACTTGTTCAAATTTACTTATTTGAGCTTATTTACTTGCATAAGCACTCGAGAGACTGTTTGAAAGAGTTTATGAAATGTCCATAACATATTTTCAGCTTATTTCCATAAGCTCTTCAGAAAAGCTCATGAAAACAGCTTAAGAATTAGAGATAGTTACATACTTACAAGGTCTACTACATCAGAGGTCAACACAACGGAGACTGCAGAAAACCATGGCGGTATATCAACTGGTTCATGCCAAAACATCAAAGAGAACAAAGTAAGACCATTCATAACATCACCAATCTAAAACACCTGATTATAATCCATCTAAATGAAACTCTTGAAACAAAAATAAAGTACTATTACACAAGTAAAATTTCAGCTAAAAAACTATCGAAATTGAACTTCGACCCATTAAAATCGGCGCTATAAAAAGCTTGATGAAGACTAAAAAGAGAAAATTTGAAACACATAGAGAAAAGGGTGAGTGAGAATTTGACGAGTTACCTCTGATATAACTAGAACCGTAGGGTCCAAGAGTGGTTTGAGGGAAGGTGAAGGTGGAAAGAGTGAAGGAGGCAGAACCATATGAAGAAGTGAAAAGTAAGAAAACAGTGAGAAGACAGAACAAAATCGAATTGAAAAGCATGTTCGTTTTTTTGGTTCTTGTTCTGAGAATATGAATATACTGTAGAATACAAAAAAGGTGCATGGGAAACGGAATATTGGGAATGATGAAATGTTTGTTACTTTGGTTTTGTTTCAGGAATGGTCAAAGCAATTTTAGCAGTGTGAAATTGATTCCTAATGTTTGGTTTTTTTAATTAAAACTTATTTGTGGTAAAATTCATTCTATCAAATTCAATTTTAAAAAAATCAATCTAAACAGATAGAATATCTGACTGAATTAAAATAAGTAATAGAAAGTTATTCAAATATTAATATAAGAAAATTTAACCATGGTTTATATTTTTTTTAAAATGAATTTAAAAAATTGACTTTTTAATTTATTTAGAATAAAAATAGTTATTTTATTTGAACTTTAACAAAAAAATTGATTTTTGGTTGAAAAAAATGATTGAATTGGTATTAAAGAAAAGTTCCTTTGATAAATATTTCAACTTTATTAGTTTTAGAGAGTAATCATTTTTTATTAATTAAAAAGTTTAATTAAAAAGTCTAATTAAAAAATTAATTAATATTATATTACAAAAATTAAAATTCACTTTTAAAAAATCAAATAAAAAAGTGCCACTAAATTTTATAACTTTGTAACTATTAAAATTATTATTATTATTTATATAGGTTTATTAAAACCAATTTATTTACAAAATAAATAATTTTAGTTGTTAAGAGAAGCTTAGTATTGGTATTTTATTCATTTTTATTACAAAAAAAAGTGTATCTTAAGATTTTTGTTTTTGACAATAAAGAAAAACATTTAAAATTGTTTTCTTATATTTTATTGTAATAATTTACAAATAAGCAAATATAGTATTAGGAGTTTTACATTAGAGTTAGACTACGACTATTGTCTTCTAGTCGAATTTAAAGACAAGAAATTAATAACAATTTTTATGATTAGGGTATAAACGAGCATGTTTCTCCCGTTTAAATCTGTTAAGTAAAAATTTAAAAAAAATGGAGCAGTATAGTAGAGGATGAGAGTCTAAGACTTAAGTCTGTTCTACAAAAAAGTTAAGTGTGGGACAGAGAAAATTCACGGGTATTACACATTTTAAATTTAAAAATATAAAATTTTACGTTAATACTCATTTTCCCAAAAATTCATATAAAAAACAGGGCGGAACAATCATATTATAGAGTGAGAATCTAAACAGGACAATGCCCAATTGATCGGACCCACTTTATCATCCCTACTTACGATATGTTGCTAAAAGCGTATAAAGACCATAATTTTATGTGTTTTTTACTAAGAAAAGATTTGTTAGAAAAATGTCATAGAAAAATAAATGATAAAAAAAGTTTTATACTGTCAATCAATTATGATTATAAATTTGGTTAAGTCAGACTGTCATTTAAAAAAAAATTATATAAAATAACAACACAATATATTTTTATTAGATGAAATCTATTTGTATATCCCCTTTAAACTCAAATAACATAAAGAAGTATCGTAGTATTCATGATGATTTATTACAAGAAGTACGAAGCATGTCTTTGCTAGATTAGGCTTCAAAAAATTACTCTTGAAATCTGATCTGACCTGATCAGAAGGTTTGGACCGTCACGGCTTACTCCGAGCTGAAGGCTTTTTGAACGAGGAGGGGGGGTACCTGCAAGGCACTCCGATGCTAAAGTCAGTGGGAGTACTAGCAGATAATAGAGTTGAGGTTAGAATGATCAATACCTGACCCTCTGGAAACAGAGGGTATTTATAGCCCCCAGCGCTGGGCCAAGGTTCCTTCATTGGGCCGGGCGGATTTGGCCCAATGGAGGAACTGCCAGGTTCTACGTGGGTAGTGGGGACCAGCACGTGGTCCCCTTCCTGGATGTGCTGCGTGAAGGGCGGGCGGACAGAGACGCGGTCTTTCCGGAGTATCGTTGGGGTAACGGTGGACTGAGTCTGCCCTAGCCAGGTAGCTCGAGATCATGTCGAGCTGCGCTGCACGGTACCGAGCTCGACGCCAAGACCTCGAGCTGAACAGCGAGTGTCGAGCTGGACGTCAGGACACAGAGTCGGACGGCAGGGTGTCGAGCATGACTTCACTGCGTGGGGCTGGACATTGAGATGTCGAGGTGGACATCAGGGTGTCGGGCATGGACGCGACCCCCTTTGCTCAGTGTGGTCCTTAGTGAGTCCCTTTGGACTGGGCCTTAGTAATGCTTTTGGGCCTGTCGGGCCCAGTCCAGAACAGGAGCCCCCCAAGTCGTGGTTCCTTTGCGAGGAGCCATGACTTGAAACAAAGTTGTTCCGTCGCTGAGGTCTCGTGCCCGGGATGGAGGCGTGGACCCTCGAGGGGTCTCCTCGTGCCGTGCTCGGAGACGTCCTCGGTGGTGGATGCGTGGAGGGTCCGTACCGGGCGCGTCAGTCGAGCACACGAGGCATCTTTCGGGAGTTGTGCCGCCACCCTAGGGGGGTAGGGCCATCATTGCGTTGGGAGCAGCGCGTCGAGGAGATGGAGTCCGTGGCTGAACGAGGTGACGTTTGGTATTCCACGTCATCACTATAAATAGGGTCCTTGGGCCCCATAATACGTTTTCCGTTCTCCGTGCTCTCTCCGTTGCCGCTCTCAACACTCTCTCCAGTTGTGACTTCCCGTCTCAGATTCTTCATTTCTTAGCCAAATCCCAACTTTGATCCAAGTAAGTGATCTACTTTCTTCATTTTTCCGTTTTGGAATGCATGATTCCTGGAATTTGTAGATGTTTTAGGATCGTGCGCGTGGGATTAGCCCGGTAGATTCGTGTTTTGCCCGACATATTCATGTCTAGGACCGGCAAACGCATACTCATGGCCGACACATTCATAGTTTTAGATGAAAAACTTCAGAGCTGCCCGGGGTCTTCATGATCCGGGCGCCTAATTCATGACCGTGCCCGGTATGTTCATGGTCGTGGCCGTGGGCTTCATAGTGCGGCTCGCCATGTTCATACCTCGGGTCGACATGCTTGAAGAATGGCCGCGCAGTTGGTTTGAGGAAGAACACTGGGTTCAGGAGAGTCGGGGAGGCATCCACTTGTGAAAAATGGACTTGTGTAGTAGTGTATGGACGACATGATTATGTCGAGCATAGGACTTCATGCTCAATCTAATTGGTTTCCCGTGCTCTGCAGGTAACCATGGCGGATGAGCCGAGCTCCTCCAGTCGTCGTGATAGCGAAGAACAGAGTGCCGACGAGTCGGCCAACCTTATAGATACCGTGACCGACCCATCGCTGGAATGGGTGGGTGCCGAGCCTCGGGGGACGGCGTCGATATACAGTCGGGATTACCGACATCCATTCACCGCTATTGAAGAGGGGCAGGACCAGCCCGACTTCCAGCAGAATTTCGTGGTCATGCTTCCGTCGACCAATGCCAGAATTTGTTCAATGTACCCGGACTACAGCTTTGCGATGTACGAAATCGCGTTTAAAGACTTGGGGCTGCGGCTGCCGTTCACAGATTTTCAGACCGGGGTCTTTACGCATTTGGAGCTGGCCCCGTCCCAGCTACATCCAAACTCTCTCGCCTTCATCCGGGCGTTTGAGCTGACGTGTCGCTACTTAAGGATAGGGGCGACCATCCCTCTTTTCTTTCGGGTATTTCACCTGCAGCGTCAGTCCCGAGGAGGGAAGCACAGCTGGGTGTCCCTGAAGCAGTCGAGGAGACTGTTTAGGATGTATATGGACTCCGTGAGGGGGTTCAAGGATAAGTGGTATGTGGTACGACCTATTACCGACTCTGCTGTAGATTCCCTCTTCGAGGAGGAAGGGTCGGTCAGCGATGATGACGGGGAAGCAATGTTGGGCGACGACGGGAGCCCCGTGTTAGGTCGTAGGGCTAAGTTCCCGGTGTACTGGATGTCCCGACACTACGAGCATGGAACAGGTTATTTCCATACCGCAGTCGGGGATATGTGCACGGAAGACCAGCGGGCGTACGAGGCTCTTTGCCGGTTCGTCGACAGTTTTCATCCCGCCCAGTGGGTTACGCGGGAGGGGAATGATATCCTCGACAGGGACGGCTACCCGACGTTCGAGTCTCGCCCGATCGACACCAAGGCGCTGGTGGAATGTTCGACATATAGGCAGGCAGCCCGCCTGTTAGGTTGTTTGCTTGAAATTCTTTATGCGTCGTTTATTTACGCGGTTTGCTCGATACTGACTTTTCCTTTACTTCGTGCAGGTACGATGGCCAGCCGACATGAAAGGCTCCTGAAATTATCAACCGGCCAGAGGCGAGGCAAAAGGGTCGTGCAGGCCCCGCAGACGACGAGAATGGGACCACCACCAAATCTGAACGCTCCTCAGGCGGTGAGGGTGGATTCGACGTCGAGCTCGGGAGCAGCGTCAGATCCAGAGGTCGAGGAGATTGATGCCAGCGCCGTTTTGACGCAGAGGAAGAGGACCCGCGTGGAAGGCGGTTCGACTGTCGGGGAAGATGCCGGTGCTGTTCAATCCTTTGCCTTCCCCCCTTGCTTCGAGGAGGCGGGCTTTTTCGAGCGGTTCCCTCCGACAGTGGTCGCTCATGAAGCCGAGGCTATAAAGAAGATGAGCAAAGAAGAGAGGAAAGCCTATCTGGCCGCCAGCGTGGACGGGCTGGTGAAAATGGCCGAAATGGCTTTGGTGTTGTCTGAGGATGCAGGGGATGCTGCGCGTGTTAAAGAGCTCGAGCAGGAGAAGGCGGCCTTGAGTGCGAGCTCGCGGAAGTTGAAGGTCGCTCTGGAACGCTCCGAGGAGATGTTCCGAGAGCAGACCGCGATACTTGATGCCGAGAGGGATATGCTGACTCTGGAAAAGGAGAAGTCGGGGAGGTTGACTGAGGAAGGGGAGTTGCTCCGGACCGACAGGGATCGCTTGGCTGCTGAAGTCGAACGCCTGGGTAAACAGGTTGAGGAACTGAATGCTGTTCAGCAACCTGCCGAAGATGAGCCCGAGGACCTAATGATTTTGAAGAGTCGGGCTGAGCTTATTGCCCATATC